AGCTCATAGGGTCTATGTCCCCAGGGTACTGGCCGGAAACGTACGCCTGGTACTATATATATATATATATACGTGCGCGCTTTGTATTTAATTTTGTGAAGCATGCATGCTTACTCGGTGTTCGCGTAAGTTATTTTGCGGTCAGGAGAGTTTCAAATTTTGCTCACTTTGGTGTATGCTGTTCCATCTACAGTCATACAACGTGATTGATGATCTCAATCTATTACATTAATGAGAAGCAGTGCATGTCATGAACAAGCGTGACTGTTACACGCATGCTATGCACATCGTGTTTCCAGCTATGAAAAGTAGTTTAATTGACCAAATAATTGAGTATTGCTACATCATAATGGATTCCTGACGTGTATATCAGAAGAAACCATGAAACGTTGGTATTCAATTAGCAAGAGTCCAAGTTATTCGGGAAGAGGCTAGAGTAGAGAAGTAGTTGCTGGAACCAATAATTAATCATTGTACTGTTGGACAAGGTGCAAGCCATCTCCAATGATGTAACCAGAATTAACACTTGTGCCATTGTAGGTTCAGTGTGCACTACGTTACTTCGAGTTTTACGTCTAGTACTTTGTAATTTAATAAAGTCTTTATCCTTCATCGCTGCGGTAAAATGGTGGAGAATCGCTCCGTGTGACTATTGCTGAGCGGCTCTCGCTAGAGCGGTGGTGTGGTGAACACATGTCTGTCTGCACAGAAGCACGCAGGTGTATGCGACTATGCCTGTCCTTCTCTATTGTAGGTCGATCATCACCGAGGTCGTCGGAGACCTGCAGTTCAACTTCTACCATCGCTGGTTCGACGTCATCTTCCTCGTCAGCGCTCTGTCTAGCATCGGCTTCCTGTATCTCGCCCACAAACAAGCTCCAGAGAAGGGCTTGTAGTCCGCGGTCACCGCTGTCCATGTAGTCGTGTGTCAAATTGCCTTCAGTGCAGCGGTTTTCACTCACATTGCGTGGCAGTTGTGTAGCAACATAGATATAGAATACAGACATTATGTAACTACATAGACAGATAGCTACAGTATTCTATATCTACGGTAGCAATGATGGTGTGGCTTTGACTCGCATATTGGCGGTTGCAGGTTGCAGGCTGCGTTTTCGTGTACCGTAGAGGAATGACACTGTAGCTGCGAGAGAAAGATGGAATCTCCACTAAACTATACAGATAGCAGGTCGTCTGTTCTATTATTCAGTCCCGTACCCAAGGAGGGGTTCCAGGAGTTCCGGAACCCCCCCACCCCCGCCCATTTTATAGTTGGGCTAGGTATTTTATATCCAGAGGAAAACTGTTAAAATGCACCAGAATGCACCATTTTAATGCAAATTTTCTAAATTTTCCGGGGGGTCATATCCCCGGACCTCCCTAACATCGCTTCGCGCCTTCGGCGCTCGCAGTCACCCGCACACCTCTGATTTGGACCCCCCTCGTAGGCCAATCCTGGGTACAGGCCTGTCATTTGTTTCAGTTCTATCAGCTCACAGTAGGCCTTCAGTGCGTATATTATTCGTTAGTAAGTACCGGTAATAACGGTGTGAGGTCTTTCGATACTATTCTTTAAAATACTATATGACATTTTAAGCTTTTGTGGAAATCCGGGAATAAAATGAGGCTATTCAGCGATTATACGGTAGAAAATAAATGTCGTATGTTCTGATATTGTATACGATTTATAATGCATGCTAACTTTTACACGCATGTGTTGTGTTTTAGTTAAACAAGAGCCGATAGCAGACATCTCGGACCATGTTGTATATGATATCACATAGCAGTCTAGCGGTGGTATGGTGAGTGCTGCACCGCTATATAATTACGCTTTAAACTAGTCATTGTCGCCTATAATCTGTTTGACTAAAACTATGTGTAGGTACGAGGCGTGATACAACCAGAATATGAGAATACCGTAGAAAGGGAAGTGGCGTTGGAGAACATGCTGCTTGTTATGATAGTGAACGAGGGTAGCCAGTATACCGCTCACAAACAACGGCAAGAGTAGTAACGCAAAACTAATCTCGCCAACTGATTCAAGAGCACAGCTTCTGTTATATGGGGAAACGAACAACTAGCTTTGTGAAGGCTCGTACCTATATGCTTAACGTGCGTGTCCTTACTCTTAAATGTTATACCTCATTTGGATGCGCTGTATAAAGTGTTCCGTGTAACATACAAATTTGTCCGACCGTATAATAAAGAGTACAGTAAACATTACTGGTGGCTTTTCTGCGAGTAAAGTGAAGCAATAGCCTTACATTCGGTGCAACGATAACGAGTACAACGGTATACTAGAGTACGTATGAATAAACAACACTTGTGAAACCTTGTAATGTTTACAGAGATGATACCAACAATATATTATATTAAGCATACCACACGTGACAATTAGAATGAACGCAATTGCGTGTGAGCCTGCATGTGCAACTCGTTTTCACATTAAATGTCTATATGCGTCTTATCCGTTACTTCTTTGATCTTACTCGCATCTCTTTGTCTGACTATTGTACGGATTATTCTATATAGATCTAGTATGATAATTGTTACCGTATTTAAGAGATTTAAAAGCGGTACGATCGAATATTGATATTTGAACCGCATTCGCGTGATCAAGCAGTGAGTAAGCACATAAACATATTGGTTGAGGTAGTTTTCGTCCAGCGTTCGTGACCTTAGTCTCCACTACTATGGCACGATAGTAATTATGAGGGGCCCCCCGCCCCCGGTAAACCCCATCGTTGCATCATCCTACGCGAACGCCGGTGCGTGCCCGCGCATGGATTGAATGCATCACTAAATACAGACTGATTCGTGTACGCTGTTGTTACGATATAATACATGTATTTATTTTGACAATAAAATGGATTTCCGCAACAGTGCTATTGTTTTGTGCTCTGCAATCTTCATTACGAAAACATTATGTCGCAAGTAAATTTCACACTCGTGCTTTCCTCATTTGTTGGTGGTGTACGTAATGAATGCATGAAAGATACTGCACTCACACACTCCCGCACGTACCCGCTCACTAATATATATATGTGTGTGTGTGTGTGTGTCGTTTGTAAAAAAATGATTAAGACGATTGAGGCTGTAAGCCTGTGTTAGGGGTGCGTGCACGTGTGTGTGTGTGTGTGTCTGTGTGTGTGCGTGTGCGTGCGTTTGTGTGTCTTTGTGTTTATGTGTGTGTGTGTGTGTGTGTGTGTGTGTGT